AGGTGGGTCTGATCGGGTGATAGACCACCAACGCGTGCATTTAGGTCTCCAGCCAGGATCATCATTTCCGTCTTAGGTGCTTTGAGAAGAAGCTGATGTAGGTTGTGATAGAAGGCATCCTTGACTGTTTCCGGGCTACAGTCTGTGGGAGTGTATGCAGAAACCACGAGTAAGCATCGTTTATTTTTGTTTCTGCTTTTTGACCTTATTTGAGCCTTTGAGTCTCACTGTGCATAGTCGGATCCAGTCCAATAAACCAGTCTCGGCCCTGGCGCTTAAGACAATACCAACGCCTGCTTGACCAGACGCTGAAGCGATAGGGGTACCGGAGACGCTTAGCTGAAACGCTTCTTTTGGGTTGAAAAGAGACGTTCATCGGGTCACTGCGCTGGGATCCTGAATGGGTGTTTCCGAGAGTCAACACACATCGATCTCTAGACTTTCGAGGTTACGACCCAAACCTGCTTGTTGTCCTATACGCATTAGAGCCAGTTTGAACGCAAAGTGTGGTCAGAGGAATGGAACGGTCGGTTCCGAGACAGATGCCGAGGAGGATAGCGGCGAGCTACAACATCAGTGGAACTGTTCGGGGTTGGACAAAAAGGGGAAAAACTAGGGGTATGGTGTGTGTGTGTGTGTGTGTGTGTGTGTGAGTGTGAGGGGGGGGGAGGGGCGATTGGAAGTGTTGCATGCAGGTTTTAAGAGAAAGTTTTGCAGAAGTGTAATATTCTGTGATATGCGTAAATGCGTAAATGTGTATGTTCATAAATCCATGGTTAGTTTGTGGGCGTGGTACTACCCGGTTACCCAGGCCGAAGTAAACAGTTTTCTTGGGGGACCCTACCCGGTGCCTTGGTTAAAGAATCTGAACCATAAGGCAGTGGAGCGGAGTAGGAAGTCCACGATCTTCTGGGAGCCGGTGGCTGACTGACCAGTTCATACGGCTTTTGAATGTGGCCAACTATCCAGGATACCCAGATTACCCTTGAACGGCACACTTGCCGGTGAGCGTCACGGTGGTCGAATACAGAGGTGAACTTTGTATACCGGTTTGGGTGTGACGAGGATTGGTGCACTATGAGCTTTTTACGCCAAGTGTGGGTAGTTTAGAATCAGGGTTTGGTCAACATCCCTAGACTGACTAGTAGTGATCAGTTGACCCAGTGGAAAGCGCCGGGCATTCACCTTCACCCTCCCACTTTATTGTTAACACTTCCGACACGAGTAAGCAATGGATAGGACTTCCTCAGTCGAAGCTATTTGAGTCGCTTGGTCGTTTGGGAGCATTTCTAGAGGAGTTCGGGACGAATGGCCATTTCTGAGCCCGAGACACCCACTCCCGACCATACTGAGGTATTTGGAGGCCGCAGTTTGGCCACCCTCATAGCCTGCGTCCTGGACGGCATGTTATCTTCACGACAACAGCATCTCCGTGAGAGTAGCTGGGACCATGTTTTGCTCAGTGTTTGTGAATTCAGGTGTCCCCCAAGGCTCTGTATGTACCTGTTTCCTTTTCTTGACGTTCATTGATGACCTTTTCCGTTCTTTTTTTTAATCCTGGTCATATATTTTCCAATGACGCTAACCTACACCCTTTACTTCATTCCTATTATTCCGCCACTTCAGCATTGACGATAACCTCTTCTCTTTCAGCATCTCCCTTAGTTATGTTTTTGATCACATTTCTGCTTTGGTCTATCACTTTGCTCTCGCACTGCTCGAAAAATCGGCTTCCTTCTTCACTTTATGCCAATGTATCCCATATCCGGCACAAAACCAACCACGTTCTCATGCTTGCGCCATCAGCAGTTGTGTTCTTTTGGTCCGTTCTTGTCCGGTCAAAATGATTGATTATGTCTATGCTTGCACAGGTAAGCCGTTAACCCAGTGTCTTGACCGCGGAGGTACACTTTCTTTTTCCCTCTCTCCCGGCGAACAAACACATTGGATAATTATCTTGCCTGCTTCTCATACATACATACATACATACATACATACATACATACATACATACATACATACATACATACATACATACATACATACATACATACATACATACATACATACATACATACATACATACATACATTGTGAGATTGGAAGCGATCAGTGCTTTTGGCTTCACTGTATATTGCTCTAGGATGATAAAAAAAATCAAAACCGACTACTGGAACAAAGACCACTCGTAGGAGCTCACTTAACACCGATTGGTGTATTTCACGGAAAGCAAGAAGCCACAAATTGAAGAAAACTTGCTTAAAACTCTGCCGGTATTTTTATGATTCAGATTAAAGAACCACGAAGCACGGTGCAAACTTGAGATTAACATCTCTGGAAAAATGAACGACATTGTAGAGGTATATGGCGATTGGGATTCGAACTCGAGTACCAGTTATGTATCCATTTTACTGTTGTCATTTAATAAAATACTTGACAACGAGGGAAACGGGTTTTATTTGCCATTCATTTCTACCGGTTCCGTACCATATCTAACCTAAGGGGGCCTTATGTAGTTCGCCACTCCAAATCCCGAGGCTCAGGTTGCCGGTTTTCATTACTGAACAGCCGGTCTTCGTGTATATGGGGTTCAACCTTTCTGCTGTTCATCACACTAAGGTATGTAATGAAAAATTGTGTTCGGGCCTGAATATTTGCATTTGGCATTGTGTCCAAAGTGTTACACGTTTTTCACGGTTTCTCTGTCAGACTGGAATTCGTCACATTGACATGAACAACCCAAATGCACACACACAGACACATACAAAAGTGCGGCTATCCGCTTGACCACATTCACTTTTAGTTTGTGCCAATAGCGACATTCGACTTTAGACCAACTTTTTTTGCTCCTCGTCTTTCTTTCGGTATCCGAGTTTCGGCAGTCGATTAAATCGTAGTAATCTCATGTAATTTCAATAACTGTGATTAGCTGATCTCCTCTTCGTTGTTTTTAAATATGCTTCGCGTTATTTGCAAACACAACCTTCCCTGAGTTTGCTTAGGTCCTTCATCCCCTACCCCCCCCCACAACACTGTCTTTATTCAATCATGTCGTTGAAACATGGGACGCTTTTTTGGCCATCTAGTTCCTACCATGCTATGCACGCTATGCCGATCCGCTGATTGTATCCCCTTCCTCTATATTGTTGCCTTTTTCACAGTACTGTGTTCTGTTGCAATAATCGGTATACAATTCGAGGGTATAGCACACGGGACTGTTCACCTGTTTTCGTCCGTATTCTGACGCCCAATATGCATTCGGTTAGCGATAGGAAAAGAACGAGATGATTACCGTTCACGATTAGATCACAATCATTGCCTCGTTCTCTCACGAGCTGCCTCATTCTCATCTGTCTTTCGTTTTCGCATTTTCACCGCGCAGACTCAAGACCTCGCCAATCGATCCGAAGCTACCGGTTGAGATGCAACTGTCCCGAGAAGCAATCCCCTTGGGAAGCATTCCTTTTTTCCTCACTGGTTCGCCAAAATATCCTCAGGTGAGCTGAAAACTTGTTTTGATTTTGAAATTTGCGCTAAAGCCGGTGTATGTTTGTCGAATGCTGTTCTTTTCCCCTTCTTCGGAATATTTGATGTGTTGCGTCAGTTACCAAGTTATCACACTTATTTCATTTGGAAAACTGAGTGCGAGTGGCGCGATGCTATTCACCTCACCACTCATTACCATTAAGTATGAAACCAGTTGGCAGTTTGCTTACAAGCTGATAACCAACTCTCTTGATTCTGGGTTTTCTTTTTGTTTGGTCGAGAATACTTTTCGATCGTCCACACACACTAGACTGATCTCCTGGAAACAGTAGCGACATTACAAGTAATCATTCTTCTATGCTCATGAATCAGTGAGATAGGAGAATGGCTCAAATGTGTTGATGTTGCAAAAATAAGTGCTTTTCATTTATTACTCTTGATACCCGACGAGAGGAGAAGCCTCAATCCATTTCACTGGACCTAAGCTCACAAATTGTATGGGACCACAACGGAATAGGCATAGTATTTAAATTAACGTGAAGCTAGTGCTACTGAACGCTGTTTGTGTTTTTTCCGAATCGTGATTACGAAGTCCAAATACGAAGATCGGCCAGTTGAAAAGTGTGATCCAGATTCTCCTCTATGGGGAGGTGTGAACGATGTTGGACCCAAGGCGCATCGATCTATGGTATTCCATTGTTTGTCACTTTTTATCTGTGTTTCGCACAGAGACCGGGAATCAAGTCCAAGACCTCACGTGAGAAGACACACAGACGCAAGCAGTAGTCTACAGACTGATGTCATTGATTGAACGGAGTTTTTGAAACTGATCACGTCCCGCTACCGCCACCATCTGAGTGATTCTAGGGCACAACATCATGGTGAATTATGTTACACCAGTGGATCCTCGCAATCGGTCAGTAGCTAGATACAATATCCAATGAATAATGGATTAGCCAATGCCAAAAACCTAAATTCTGAACTTCTGAGCTTATTACTCCATCAAGCTTAGTGAATATTTCATTCACAGTGACTAGCCGAAATTTACAGGTTGCTACCCGTGCAACCTAATTTGATTTTTGTCAGTTTTCTACTTCACTGTGTGTATCAGATTTTCGGTCATTGTTCTGGATAAACTCTTTGCAGTGATTCCAGTTTTTGGCTGGTGGTGGCCCCGTGTTAACGTCACCAAATTATCACCCCGTGGATGTTAGGTTGAATCCCATCACCACTGACCGATTTTCCCATTGTATGTTGTATGGCATCCCTTTGATTGGTCGCTTCCCCCTTCCTGAAAATTGTATCTTTGTGTATTCAAAAAGGAAGGAAAATGACAAGAAAAGAAAGTAAGATGTGATTTTTTAATTGGGAATCTGCGTGTTGGGGAGTTTTGAATTTGTTGTCCACTTTTGCTTCCCAAACTCCATGTTTTCCACCGTGAACGTTTTACTTTTTTTTGCTTTCAATCCTCACGTCGTGTCACCCATCCCTGGCCTGTTAAATATTGCCATCAGATGCTGGACGAGTTGGTTTCTCGTCTCAATACACATTATGCAGAGTTTATACGATCTCCTGATGGTCAGAATTTCCACGGTGCAGTTTGTTTGATGGCTGATAGTGTGGGTGCCATTCTCACACACGATGTCCTCAATATTGTTGCTCGTCAAACCGACGGACTACTGGTGGATAACAATGCGGACGGAGTTAGCCTCATGGATGCCGGTGCTCGACGTTGGCGTCAACCGGTCACAGTCGGTGTCTTGCGAGAAATGGATCAATTTAGTCAAGAAACCACATCTACGGTTAGTTGAAACGTGTTAACAGACATCTGAATTGTAAGCATGATTCAGCTCGGAGTTGACTGGGTCTCTCGGGGTTTCTCGCGTTCGCCATTAGTGCCATACCAAACGTACTTAATTGTGTGTTTTCTATTGCATCGGCTCGGTAATAGTCCTGTTCTGTTTTACCACATCTAGAAAATCATTGGAACAGATAACATGCACGTACAGCTGTTGAATATTGTTACTTACTACGTGTTTCATCACTTTCTGCATTGACCTCATTGGGTTTAATGCAGCACTATAGGTTGCTGCCAAATGTGAACGACAGTTGAAGACGCAAAGAAGGTTTGGTTGTGGTTTTTAAGTCCCTCCTTGTTTCAACTGGATTCGTCAACCCCTCTTGGTAGACTGCTAGTAGTTCTCCAATCGAATTATAACCTGCGATGTCGGTTTTTGGTCCCCTTACTTTGGTAGGGAAATACCTTGGCGGCAACAAAAAGCACGAAACGGACAAAGGACGGGCAAAACTATCTTGTATAGTCCAGGGTCTGCGTGTCGTTATTGTGATATGTTTTGGGCTCCTTAGAATTTCGTTCGTTTTCTATATGCATTTTTACATGTAAAGGAATGATGTTATTATTGGAAATCGTTTTTATTTGTTCGCACTTATAAAGTGAGCGTGCCTTTGCGTATCTTTGTCGGGATTCGAAACGCGAACCATCGGGTTGGGTTTGGGTTGTCCCTGTGCTATACGGGCGCCTGATAGTGATGGTTCTGTGAATTGAATTAGTTAGTCTTATTTGGCTCACGCTATCTGACAAACACCGTGAGTTTAGATTCACACAAGGATAACCAAAACAGAACACTGTAGTCAGGTGATCACAGTGTAACATTTTATGAGCCTCAAACGATTTCGAGAAATAATGTTGCAGTTATTGATTATCGCTGACTACTGCACTTTCACACTTTTCTCGATTCTTTTTCCCTTGCCGGATTTAACTTGACCAGAATAATGAAACTTCTACACTGGTTCAACCGGGATCAAACTCTTCTGACAGTCCACGTCTGAAACGAGATTCAACAAACGTCCGACTGTGCATGCTAGACTTTCATGTGAGTGGTTGGCACCAAAGACCTTTATTATCCTCTATTCATGAAATGATTTGAATGACTTTCGATCCGCTCAAATCAAGATTCAAGTTTAATCCAAGGAGCGAGAATCAATCCCTTTTTGATCCCGTTTTTTTCGAACATGTGTGTAAATACCTTTATGCGTAGTATGCATTTTCATAGACCATCAACCGTATGTTAAGCAGTTGCAGACCGTATCAACCAATGTTTCCAAAATCACGTGTGCTGTTTGTTTGGAACAAATGTACAAAAATCTGTTATTGTGCATACTCTGTTCACTCATATCCCACACCACAGTTGAAAATCTGGCTCTTGATACTCATTGAAATTCGATGACTGTTTGGAAGCAGAATTCAGTGCGCGATCGCTCGTCAGTTTTTCTTTCTCTTGTTACATACAAGGTGGCAATAGTAGAACACGGGCTGAACGTTCTATTTGACGTCGCTTCTCTCCTTCGGATATAACCAGGGACGTTTGATCTCGCGCATGCATGTGTAACTAATTCATAACTTCTGCGTTACACTAATGGTACCTGAGTAATTCCGAAAATGGTTTGAACAATTTTGTGTTGTTCCAACCAGTTGAACTGTTAACATCGATCTTCTCACGCGACGGTATCAAGATTATGGTTGATCCTTAGCGAACATTTAGTAAATGCATGCTTTTCTTTGATGCTCTTCAACCACCATCTGTTGTTATCCACTCAAAAATTCGAGTTTGGAATTTGTTTCGACCTTGTTTATGATCGTACTAGATAATTATGAACCAGTCTCTGATCCTCTTTTCGGAATAGTCTCAACTCAGTTCTATACAGACTATGTGAAATACTTCTGTGCCAGCACATCATTAAGGATAGCTTCTATATTTATAGTAACAGAAGCATACGAGTAAATGCACTGTGAGAAAAAAATTGTCGAGGAATAGAGTTAAATAATAGGTTAAATGTTTCACTTTTTGCTGCATTGTAAGGGGCATCCTGGTTAAGCTTGCACCACATGTAAGCGCTAGTCAGTCGTTGCCGGTGACACCTACCATTACGACACAATTATAGGAAAGTGGCTCGGTACAGTGCCTCAGGGTGATTGAGAAGCGAGGAAGTATAGATGGATTTCGAATAGGCAAAAAGATTTCCCACCGTTATGACCTTATGTGCAAAATTTATGCGTACTCTTTACAACACCGGCTACGTTTCGCTTACGACAATATCTACGAAACGATGTCACGGTACTTTCAAATCATTTTGACGCAGTTGTTCTTAACCAAGACAATCATTTATATTGCGAAACTGCCTTCTGTAAGAAAAACTTATATGTGATATCAGTGCGTCCAAATCTGTCTCGCTATTCCCACCTATCAGGGTCACCCTCCTCCATCCCCGAGTGATTTGTTTATCATCGTTGTTCTTTTTTAGCATTCAACCCTGTTTATATACTTTTGGATCATGTACTTTCCTACAATACGTACCAGCAGCTATAAATATGATGTTGTTCCTACACTAACTTGTGCGCTGCTGCTGTACTGATAGCTCTTTTCCCAAAGTTTGATGTATTTCCTGATTCTCGTATTTTCCGATCGATGTATGTATGCATGAATGGAAGTCTTGTCTCTTAAGTTACACATTTCCTATGACCGGAAAATCCCCTCCGGTTTCCGCGATCAAGTTACAACCTTTCTAATCGGTTTAACAATATGCTTTTCATGGCGTTTATCTCTCATTTCTGACAAGTGCGCATTGTGGTCAGTTCGCGCGCGCGCGCGCGCACTCTCTCTCTCTCTCTGATCTGTCATCAGGTCGTTTTCGGTCCGTGGGTGTGGTTGAGATAGGTTACTTTCGCTGCAAACAATGTTTCCGAAGTCCGTAAATAAGTACCGTTTGTCCTTTTGTCCTGTCCCCATTTTATGCTAATAATATCCCCACAATCATCTGAGTTAACCCAAGTTAAGATACCCAAGGGAAAAAATTCACTGCAATTTATCTATACTCCACTTTATCCCTCCACCATCACTACACCTCGCACTCACTTTGAAACTATTGGACGTTTTGTTCAGCCATTTGTGAACTTCCCGATATACTATGTTATACTCGAAGGTGGCAAAATGTAAGCTTGCTATTTAACAAAACATCAGTCCATCTTCCGATCTATTCATTCCGTTCTTCCTCGAGCCCCTTACTCGAATGTATGCGAAAATATTTCGGCTTGTGGTAAAAACGTTCCTTCATCGATTACTAAAGCCGCTTCAGTCGTATGTCCAGTTGTTATTTTTGTGGCCGATCTCCTCCGTTTTTTGCTTGAGCTGGGATCGATTTGACTTTGTTTCCACATAGCTGATCTGAAATCACATTTTCTACTCAAAAGTCACGTTCACCCAGACCTTCAAAACAGTCTTCGTCCGTTGAAATTGGCGTGCGGTTTCATGCATTTCAGTCGGGCTCAGTTTTTCCATAGAACTTGGTCGCAGTAAATCCTTACAGATTGTGCTATGTGAGCTGGGTGAAATCACTGTTGATAATCTTAAGAAGTAACTTCGGTGATGAGACAATAGATTTTATTATGTTTTGTCCACTGATTTTAACAATGTTTCCAAAACTTTATTTTTCCATTATATTATATTATATTATATTTCACACGTATTCGAGTTCAGAAGGTATACCAAACAAATTACGCTGCAGTTATTCTTATAACGTGATGGGTATGTAAACCGCAATCCAGTGGAATTCCTGAGCAGAGGGAATCTGAGCCGCTTGCTCCCACACGAAACTTTCACGAGATGCACGGGAAAATGACCAGTCACAACCCAAGACACTCATCCCCAAATACAGGTATTGGCCAAACTCGTGCAACACCCTGACTTTCATCACATTTATCCCTGTCACTGCTTCGTTTTTCCAGCCTCATTCACGGGATTGAATATCATATTGCCCCACATTAGACGCAACACATCTGATATGATACTCACTTGTGTCACTGTTTCTATCAGCCAAATGCCAATAAAACGTACAATTTCGCTATTTTGATGACGATTGCTGGTGCATCACTTGTAAAATAACAAAGTCACAGTAGAAAAAGTAACGGTACATCATTTAATACAATGACTCATAGACTTTATACAGGTATTGTACTTTCATCTAGTCCATGTTCAATTACCCTTCTTCATTTTTGAGCATTTGATGCAGTCGTTTTAGCATGGAATCCATCAAGTTGACTGCCAAACAGAATTTGCAAGTTTCCTCTAATGCACCCCACACCTTAACCACTGACAACGAATGTCGAGGTTGGCAACTTATCCCTGTTTCTGATAGAGATGAAAGTTTTCGATTGAATTAAAATCCCGGCTTCTGCGCGGTAATAGAACGAATTTGAAATTCAACTTGATCCCTCTAAAAACTGCATAAATGTGAAAAAAAACATTTATTTAGGTCTAACCGTTTTCTACCACCAACCTCAAGCATGTTGATATACAAACCTTCATAAGTGAAAAATATGACTTCCGTAAATGCATTTTGGGAGTGACAGTTATCAAAAACCTCCATTATCAGTGCAAGAAATTTCGCTATGTCCATATTGGCATATGTAGGAGACCAATAAAAATGCACTCAGTAATTAATTCCATTCAAACTCGTTAGGTGGGATAGATATTTACTTCGTTTGACAGGTCAAAATAAATTAGAAAACTAGCTCAGCTTTCACAATACGTTGTTTACCCCCACTGAGATAAACCCATTGTCAATTGGGCGGGAGACGCGATTTGAATTTGTTGGTAAAATCAATATGCACTATGCTTTGTCGGACGTTCAATACCCGCTTTATATCACGTAGCACCAGCTGCTTTTCAAATGAAGCCATCATTTCCCAAATAAAAGCATGGGGAAAATAGCTAACCAGCCCGGACTATCCTCC